TGTTACCATTCATGGTTTGACCACATTGAGATGACTATATACAATCTCAATCTGTAGGCCAGCCAACCCAGTAAGATAAATCCAAGTTTAACGTAAAAACCGCTCGGACAAGCAGGTCTGCTAGCTACTGATCCACTCAGACGCTCTTTAAAGCAGCAGTTCCAATTTTTATTTTCCAAAGATACACGAGGTCCCTTATACTCTCTAGCGAGATGAGGGTTGGGGAAAAAGGGAAAAAAAAGGGGGGGGGGGGCAGGGAGCTTAAGTAACAAAAGTTTTATTTAGGTGTGCAATAGCAATAATTATTATTATTATTGTGTGCTGAGTGGTCAATAAATAAAATAATATAAAAGAAAATTACTTAACCTTTTTCGTTTCGTAAAACAAATTATGATTATTATTATTATTACTGTAAGCATGATGGCAAAAAAAAAAAAAAATCTATATTAATAAAAATGTTAATTTTCCGAGTTTGTTAACTATAGACTCGGAAACTACTAAACCGATTGTTTTCAAATTTTTACACAACGTTGCCTTTGACTCAAAGCATGATTGTTTGTCAGAAAATCTCACAAACCACGACCGACGTAGCTCCAGCAACGGTCAAATCATTATTTGTTTCGTTACCGGCTCGGATTTGTTTTTAGTTGATTGGCCATTTTTGACTGCTGAGCTCTTATTGAACTTTGCATTACTAAATAATTTAATTTCCACTATCTGCTTGAGTGTTTGTTAGCGTAGTTGTAACTATTCTGCCTATCATGGGGGTGACCCGCGTTCGATTTCCCACCAGGTGATATAATTCTTTTTTTTTTTAAGCCCTTAACTGGGCGACTGGCACGTTGTGTTGTGGTTTATGGCTAGGCTGGGATATCAACGCCATTTTTTTTCAATTTTGGGGTTCACAGCTAGCCTGCTACAGCGGCGATGTGATGCTCAATGGTCATGTCACGGGTAATCTTTTGTCGCCCTCGAGAGGGCCGTTGGCACGTTGTGTTGTGGTTTACAGCTAGGCTGCGATATCTGCACCTTTCGCCCAAAGACATCCGATTTCAGTCAAGTCCTAATTAGCCTCCCCGCGACGCTTCTCGATCAACAACTATTCAGCTATGACAGAAACTGTTAACTAAGACGGCTTATAGTCCAGTTTAGTTTGAGTGGACACGGATGCCAAGGTCAGTTGAAAATCGTTTCTTCAAAAAGGGTGAGATGACAGGAGCTGGGTATTTCTCTCAGCTTTTCGTCATGCGGCGCTAACTCCTCTTTTCTACACCGACCTACACAGACTGTAGTGACAGTTGTTGTTGTTGTTGTGATGGTGGTGGTGGTAGTGGTTGCAGTAGTTCTGGTACTGGATGAGTGATGTGGAGCTTTTACACTGGCCACATTTACTTCTCAGTACAGATTAATGCTACCCATTTTAGTCTGGGTGGACACGGATGCCAACCTCAATTTAGCCAACCTCAATATTTCGTCACATGGTGACTTTCCCATCCTTCGGAGAGGATGATGTGATTGGGGGAGGGGGATAGGGGGGTTATGCCAGACACAGTTAGCTGAGAGAGCTTAAAATATTATTTTAAAGTTCTCATTTCTTAACTATTTCAATTTTTAATAATTTCGCCAGTTGATGATTTTTCAATCCTTCGGAGAGGGAGAGACGATTGGTGGAAAGGGGGTGGGGAGGGGGGTGGGGAGGGGGGGGGGGGTTATGCCAGACACAGTTAGCTGAGAGAGCTTAAAATTTTATTTTAAAGTTCTCATTTCTTAACTATTTTTATTTAAATAATTTCGCCAGGTGATGATTTTTTAATCCTTCGGAGAGGAAGATATGACTTCGCCAGGTTATGATTTTTCAATCCTACGGAGAGGGCGATATGATTGGTGGAGGGGGAGGGGTGGTTATGCCGGAAACAGTCAGCTGAGAGAGCTTAAAATATTATTTTTAAGTTCTAATTTCTTAACTATTTCTATTTTAATAATTTCGCCATGGATGATTTTTCAATCCTTCGGAGAGGGAGATATGACTGGTTCGAGGGGAGAGAAGGGACGATATAACAGACACTGTTGGCTGAGAGCTATTTTCTTTTCTCTCCATTTCACCATTTTGGGCCACAGCAACGCGTGGCCGGGTACAGCTAGTAACAATATATTTGAAATAATATAAACATATTTATAAAAAGGGAACGCATATACATATTGTGTGATGGGGTATCATAACTCCCTCCCCCCCCCCCCCCCCCCACTCCATCCCAATTTTAAAAAATACCGGAGATGGGTAGGCTGAATAAGCCCGAGTTCCCAGGTTATAACACTTATGAACATACCGTTTAGATATTCTTATGAAATGTACTAATGTTTGTGAAAGTGGTAATTTTATTGTAACCTGGATACCCGCAGGTTTTGGAAGAAAGTGAAGCAAAGGATCTTTTTTTTTAAACCTAGGTGGCGCATCTGCAATATGACACAAGGTTCATATTTTAATAGACCAATCGTCACTTACATCCTACAATGAACGTAAAATTGTGACAACAGAGGTGAAATGCCTTAGAACAGCTGCAGGAGTTTCAAGGAAAGACAGAATACGAAATCATGAAATCAGAAGAATGCTAGGAATAAAGCCAGTCTTACAGGTCATCAAAGAACAACAAATAAAGTCGTTTGGACACCTAACAAGAATGCCCTGGTACTATCTGCCACAGCAAACCACACTAAAACGTTACAACGGGTATAGAGAGAGTGGAAGACCTGGGAAAATATGGAGTGATGGCATTAAGAACAGCCTTACAGAAATGAACATCAGTCTTAATAGTGCTCTTGGCAGAGCTCATCAACGTACATTACATCTCCCCCAGACACTTCTATGAGTTACAAGGTGGAAGAGACGAAGAAGAAGAAGAAGAATCGGCACTACATGGGTGATGTGGTCAACATCACACTGACCGCCTGCACTTCCCAGGATGTGACCGGATGCCCATTCATTTTAGCCAGGAGTCGAACTAGAAACCAAGGTCAATTTTGTGTTTTGAATATCTCTATGCAGATTCGAAGCTAAGACCTTACACTGGCAGGCGATCGTCTAGTCACTTCGCTCTAGTGACTTTCAAAGAGGACGTTTTTAAATTATGGGAGTTGAACGGAAGAGCTCTACAACCTAAAACATTAGGCTGGGGAGCGGAGAATCTCAAGGTGTAATGAGCCCCTTAGAATGTTATTCACAAATCAATCTGATGCAAACCTCCTTCGCTGTCTAAAATATTCCATAGTATATATTTTGTGCTGGGTTCACGGCTGTTAATTATTTTAAACAGTCCTCTAAATCTGGAATCGAACCCGAGAGACTCGGAACCATCAGATCAGTTCTAGTCACTGCTCTACCTTGGCTCAATTCACCATTTTTTATTTGTGAATTAGGATATTTTTTAACAATTCAGCAATGTTAATATTTTGATCGACCAATGGCGATTGTGGGATTAAATCATTAAAGTGAAGTCAGTAAATTCAACGCTAAACAGTAGATCTTTTCTGTCCGCAAGCGATAATAATTTTTGAACCACTAAATTGGTAGACGCCATAGATTGCAGCTGACGCCGAATATTTACATCAAGGATTTTGTTAAACATCTAACACAACCAGTTTTTATTATGTTTACGATAACTTTGTACTTTAAAATACTTAAAATCGCCGCAGCTGTACCAGTTTTAAGAGAAGGACGTAGTATAAAGATGTTCAAATTCAGCAGTTCTGCTGATAACTATAGAGAGCCACCAGATACATTGGCTCTTTCATTTGCTTGTCGGCCTGCTTGTAGATTAAAGAAAAGTAAAGTTGGGTCATCTGGTCAACATCGTGTCGGCTGCCTTTACTTTCCAGGACATTACCTGCTGACGATTTTAGAATGGGTGGACCTTGGAGCCAGGGTCATTTTTTTATACAATCCAACTCCATGTGGATTCGAATTCAAAACCTTCAGAAGTGAACGCTTAGCCGCTACACCACCTCGACTTCGCTACCTAGTGGTAATGCGTGTAAATGGTCATTTATATAAACGTGTTTTTTTAATTGATTGAACAATCGATACCAGCAAATTCACAGGAAGTAAATTAGGTCAGTGGGATATTAAACACTGAACTAATTATAACATATTCTTTCTTCTTCCTACAGGACATGTTCACAACATTCTGTTTCGTGTGCTTTCAGTCAGTTCTGACAGATGCCCTTCCAAACCATGATGCCAAATTGTCCAACCCTTTCTCTCAGTTTTCCTCAGCTCTTTTCCCCCTTCATTTTCGCACCGTGACGATGTACTCCAGTTTTTTTTTTTTTTTTTTTTTTTCTCATGATATAAACAAAGAATGTAGATTTCTCTTTCTGGTGTGGGTAATCAGTTCCTTTCGTGGATCTTTTTTTTTTTTAGGACATCTTGACTACTCCTTTTATTTTTCCAGGATGGTCTTATCAGTTTGTCTATAAAGCCTCATCTCCGACGATTCCACATAATTTTTTACTGATCTAGTACAAATAAGTTAATAGAAATATTAGGCTAGAAACATTTAGGCAGACAGTGTGAAACAACGGTCCTCTACCTTCTTATCTGGTGTAAAAACACCAACAGTATCCTTGAAATCGCCTTAAATTATTATAGCAAAAAATGGGCCTTTATTATTATCCTACCCCAAGATGACGTCACCAGACAGCCCAACATTTGAGAGCGTGGTAAGAATAGGTTTCCCGGCTTTCTGTTGCTTTTAACGACCCCAGAACATCTAGAACTGGCCCTAACCCCAACCTGCCCCAACCCACGTGCAGCCTAGGTCTTACGACTGCACGCAGCCTAGGCCCCACCGATGCATGCAGCCTATCTACCACCTCCTGAAATATTAGACTGTCCTGTAACCTGTGGGTTTCTCCTGTTTGAGGTAAGATATTATTAAAGCACCGTTTTGAAAGCTTCTTACCGAAATCAAGCACGTCAGTTTCCAGAAAACCCCATTATTTGATTAATTCAGAAACAGCACACCCTTTGACATGGCGCGGATGTCAGAGCCAATGGCTTGTACAATAGGTGTATTAAACAACAGAAGGTCAAACTGATCTGGCTGTGGAGCGTTAATAAACAACTGAACTTCTCTTTCACCAAGATTCTTGAACGCCACAGCTCGCACACTTCCACTTTTCCTAGATCCTAAAAAACTCTCCGCTTCAGTTTTCCAAATATCCAACAACTCTTCCGTGGTTTTATTGTTGTAGTCAACCCTCAAATTAAACCAGTAAATGTTTTCTGGTTGTAGAGTTCCTTCGTAAGGACCAGTTAAATCAGCGGAAACATTCAGATTTCGTGCATGGCTTTCATAAGTAATTATTGGCTGACTCCTGATTTCTAGATACCCAGTACATCTCAGCCTACTGGTGATTCTGTCTAAGGCAGCGTTGCTTCGTACTCTGACGATGACGATAACTGAAGCTTCACCTGCAACTGTGAATTTGAACAAGACGTTCCCGTCGGCTGTAGAATCATTCAATGCTGTGGCGATCTTAGTAACAACAGCGGGTTCATTTGGGTAATTTTGTGGTAAAATTGTCACAAGCAGAAAATACAATAGTGAAACAGCCATTTTTCCCTCAGACTCGTCACAAATAAAGGAAGACTCCTGAAAAGGCCTTGTGTTGAAGTTAATAGCCCTGTTGAGAAATAAAATAAAACAAATATTATGATGGGAGTAAAGAGTACTTTACCTTAAAGCAAAACTGCCAAAAACTGCCAATTACTGCCTTTATTTTACCACTTTGGCAGTGTAAGCAGCGGGGTCTTTGAGCGTAAGGATTTACGGATGAATGGCTAATGCTGTCGCCACGACAGTACATGTAAGAATTTTATTTTGCCCCGAACAAACAAACAAAAAAAAATTCCTAAACCTTAAGGCAAAACAGAAAAGTGAGTCAAGTCGGGAGATGTGAACCAGCGTCATTGCTCATGTTTTTAAACTCTGCCACCAGTACAGACAGCTGTAAGAAACTGTACGCCTGTGTCGCCGTCCGCACGTAACTACAGCTACGTTCCTCCATTTACCCCCAGAGTGTCACTCTGGTACACATTTGCTAGAGGCTGGGTGAGCCCCGGGAACCCGACTGTGGGCTGCAGCGAGTCCCAGCTTGATTTAAAACTAAGCCTCCTATTGACTACGCTAACGCGGCTTCCAGGCAAAACAGTGAATTAAGTTAACATTTTTCGAGTATGGTAAAGAAACTTCAGATGGATATTCACAACACAAGTGTATAGCGTGAGAAACAGTTCGTTCTGTCTGGCAAGACACTGGCAAAGATTACAGTCTTTACTTGTACAAGGTCGACAATTATCATCATCGTCATCATCATTAGCATCATCATCAGTTTCCACATATGCTCTTAGGCGTTGTGGGGAGGAACAGTTTACGATCCCTTGCTTGGTGGGCAGCAATGGCTACTGTCATTCCGTGTCGATGTAGAAGCTCTTTAATGTCCTCAGTCCATATTCTCCTAGAACGGCCTCTTGCTTCAGATCCTTTCATTTGTATCGCTTGTACTGGTAGTTGTTCAGCTGCAGTCTTACTGAATGACCAAACCAATTGATCTTCTGTTTCTCAATGAATGTGGTGCATGGTGTTGTTCCTACAGTCTGTCTGATAATATGATTTCTAACTTTGTCGCGGATTGTTAAGTTGGCGGCTTTTCTCAGGCTTCTCATTTCACCGGTTTAAATATTATGTAGGTTAGCCTTTGATAATGTCCAAGTCTGGCACCGGTAGCTGTAAGTATGCTGTTTATGATCTGTTTCTTGGCGCAAATACTCATGTTTGGATGTCTTAATAACACTGTCAGTTGGTATATAAATGCACCGGCTCATTGGCATCTTGTTTCCATTTCAGGATCTATTCTTACATCCTTCGAGAAAATATTTCCTAGATATGTAAATTCTTTAACTGCTTCAGACAGCTACCATTCAACACTATATGTAACGGACTAGGAATTCTGCTGACATGTATTACTTCAGTTTTGGTAGTATTTATTTTCATGGTATATACTCTGTAAGTTGAACTTTGTCTGTTCAAATGTTTTTGAAGTCTACTCCCCTCATTGAAGAACTAACATTGATCGTCTGCAAACAGTAGCTCATTTATTGTGTTGTGTGTGGATCTAATTCTTCTTCTGGAAAGTAAAGTTCCGCATTTTATGTATTTTCTGGGTGTATTATTTCTGGGTTTCTTACAATAAAATAATGAGGCAAATTCCCAAAAAATTAAAACAATCAACAGTTGAAGTTAGAACCTGTATTGTATTCAAAGTAAACCCCATGTGCGTTGATACAGCGAGTGACACGATCTATCCAATACTGAAACAACCTCTTTATTTCTTTTATTGATATGGCCCCTAAAGTCGATGTTACTGCCTTTTAGATGTCATCAATATTGTCAACGAAGCGTCTTTTAAACTGTAACTTTAATTTTGGGAAAAGAAAACAATCACGCGGAGACAAATCTAGGAAATAGGGTGGATGATTATGAAAACACACTTCTTTTTGTGCCAAATATTCCCGGTGAGCCAGTGCATTTTCATGCAGAAAAAAAAACTCTACCAGATGTTGAATACTCGGGTCAGATTTGGAGAATCCTTTTCAATAGTCGTTTCAAAATACTTAAATAAACCGTGGCAATAACAGTCTGTTCCTCTGAAATAAATTATGTGTGAATAACCACGTTGCTGTCGTAGAAGCACGCCAACATTGTCTTCACTTTCGACTTTTGGAGACGGATTTTTGATTTTTTTTGTGTGTGCCTTTTGATGATAATGATGACTTCAACTGAGCACTTTGGCGTTTAGTTGTGAGTCAAAGCGAAAAATCCATGTTCCTTCTTTGCAACAATCTAATTTAAGAAATGTTTTTTTTTTTCCCTGGGTCACGTTCTAATGATTTCTTCGCGTACTCAACACTCAGATGTTTTTGGTCATCAGACAACGAATATAGTACAAACTGGCAAGTAACTTTATTCGTGTCCAAATCTTCTACTAAAATTTTACGAATGGTTTCTCTATTAACATCATATACATCTGCCATCATCCCCACAGTCAAACAACGATCTTCTTGTATTCGTTCTCTGACTTTTGCAAAGAGTTCCTCATTACGAACAGAAATTGGGCCATCCTGGTCTAGTTGCATTAGTAATCATTTCCACACCACTTTTGAATCTTGAACACGACCCGAAAATATGTGCCCAAGATAAACAATTATCCCCAAAAACTTGTCACATCAATTCAACTGTTTCCGTTGAGATTTTTCTGAGTTTTAAACTGAATTTAATGTTAGCATTTTTGCTTCAGGCTGATTACATAACAATGCACCTCTGACTAGGTCAACAAAATTGCGGCTTTTTTTTTTCTGCATAAGCAGATTTAAACTGTCCGGATCGTAGATGAAGGTTGCCTCTTTGGATTCCATGCTTTGTTTAATTGATGTCATTTTTGTATTGGCCACAGTAAAATCAGTCTCTTTACTTAACTGTCGGACCTTGTACTTAAGACCAACAAAAATTATTGCGGACTCCTTAAATTTGTTCCACAAAGGAGTCCGTTTTTTTCCCCACATGTTTTGTTAATAAGGGAACCAACTAGGATGCCTACTAAATGTCACTGTATCTCATCAAGTGCATTACTACAGCGTTTACATAAACATGTATTGGAAAGAGCAGTTTGTAACAGCCTTTTTCTCTTTGCTGAGGAACAGTTTACCCAATGCTGAGTCTCCGAGGCTTCCTTGGCTGAGTTACATCTGGCATATTAAGTGTGCAGAGTCCCTAAAGACATCCTCTACGGTAAATTACATAGTGATAGAATATGCTGAGGGTGGCCTCTACTACGATACAAAGATGTGTGCAAGGTGAATAAGAATGATACAGGTACTGAGGTAGATTCATTGGAACAAATTGTCAAGAGAGTATAATGTGAAAGGGCAAATCAGGAGGGGAATAACGAGGGAAGGGGGGGGAGGGGTGATTACGGATAGGTTGATAGATGAAGCACACTAAATGCAAATGATGGTAACAACGGTCCAGAAATGCCATACTCTAATTGTCGTAGACTTTTCTTGAAATGGGAGGTCTTGCTAGTCATCATACTCGCCATAGCTCTGTGCTGTAATTCCCACTCCGTTCCATTCCGCTCCGTTCTGTGGAGAGCAAATAAAGTAGACCAGTTATATTTGTGGCCTGACGTATTTGCGCCACTTTCGTGTCTGAGGTTATGTTACGTACGCCAGTTTCTGGCTTATATTTCTTGCCTCAAAGACAGACCGCTCCTTTCTCTTCTATGTCCCGATGTTTTCCTCCTCTTCCTCCTTTCGGTTCGTTCTCCTTTTTAATTGTCCATAGGTCCTCTAATATGTTTCTGAATCTGTTTCCTTTTAGTCTGATCAGGTGAATCTCGTAAGAAACCGAGCTAGTTTGAAACTATTTATTACATAAAACTATTTGAACCACAATCTATAGTTTTAACATTTTTATTTTTTATTTTTTTTTTATTTGGGGAGAGGGGGGGGTGTAAATGTGATTCCCATGCCTCCCCACACAACAATATCATCCAGAAAGACAGAAAAGTGCCAACAAACATGAACACATACTGAAGCACAGAACTGTAGGCTTCTAATGTTATATACTGATATCAACAATCATGAACACATAATGAAGCACAGAACTGTGGGCTTCTTATGTTATATACTGATATCAACAAACATAAACATATAATAAAGCACAGAACTGTGGGCTTCTTATGGTGTATGTTGATATCAACAAACATGAACACATAATGAAGCACAGAACTGTGGGCTTCTTATGGTGTATGTTGATATCAACAAACATGAACACATAATGAAGCACAGAACTGTGGGCTTCTTATGTTATATACCGATATCAACAAATATGAACACATAATGAAGCATAAAAGTGTGAGCTTCCTATGTTATATACTGATATCAACAAACATGAACACATAATGAAGCACAGAACTGTGAGCTTCCTATGTTATATACTGATATCAACAAACATGAACACATAATGAAGCATAAAAGTGTGAGCTTCCTATGTTATATACTGATATCAACAAACATGAACACAAAATAAAGCACAAAACGGTGGGCTTCTAATGTTATATGTTGCTGTCACATCTGCAGTAGAGATCCTGATGACACACAGGAGAAAAAAAAAGTAGAAAAAGCAATATAAAAAGGTAGTAAAATAAATGTAAAAGACCCTTTTTTCGAGACTGGTTATATGATGCTAGTTGCAAAAACCCTGCCGAACCAGTTGGGTCGCCAAGAGAGATTATTATTATTATTGTGTACTGAATGGGGAAAGAAAGATAAATATACATTTGAAAAAAAAAAAAATGACATGTGCGGACAAAGGTTTTAAATGGTAAAGTCGGGAGATCTGAAGCTGCGTCATTGCACAAGGTTATAAACCACACGTGCTCTTCACCAGTCCGGACAGCTGGTAAGAAACTGTCTGCATGAGTCGCCGTCCGCATACAACTCCGTAGCTACAGCGACGTTTCTCCATTCATCCCAGAGTGTTAACTCTGGTACCCC